TTAAAATATTCTTTCTTTAAAGCTGGGATAAGTGAAACTTACTGGGCTAATTGGTTTAAATTAGCAAATTTTCAAACCAAGCATGAAGCACTGTTAACTGGCCAACAGTTTTGCTGCTTTTCAATTTGCAAATCCAAAGTCTGCTGTAGTCCTTACACTTCATTGTATAATGTGGAGGAACAGCTGTAAAATGTGCAGAATGTTCTCAAAGAAATGCTTTACAAAAGAGTGAGGGGCTTCGGTGGCAGACTGCTTTTAACCCAGCATTGCCACTTCAGATGAGAAGTTGTGCACTATGGGTTATGTCTGTATTCACAGTAAAACTTGCAGGAGGTTCTTAAGGGATACTCACTTTATTTTATGCATTGAATTAAGATTTTTTTTTTCTTACGCTTTCTTTTTTGCTCATATTCAATCTGCAGTCTGATTTAACTTTCTACTGTTTCTAATTTAAAGTAAAGCTTTTCACACCACAGAATGTGAACACCCATCTCTGAAACTTTTCTTTAGTAAGATATTCGTAATAGAAAGGCATAACAGCCAAATGAGGGACAGCAGTCTACAAAGAGATCATCCTGCTCTTTTATTTAAAAAAAAAAAAACACAAAACATATATTTTTTTTTTTTCCCCCCTTGTGGGTTCTCACATTTCTTGTTAATCCATTTTGGTTGTACCTTAGGCTGTTCACTGTTCCAGGTTTTAATTATGGTATATGCTACGCGCTAGGAAGCAGGTCAGGAAGCTGTCCCTGTTGCTCACTAAGAAACACAGTGCTATAATATTTCAGTATACAGGAAGAAGCATTAACAAAGTACATATATACTGGAATGCCTGGATTGGCTCCTGAAATACTTTAGTCCTCATGTCTTTGGAATTTTCTACCTTTTTTAAATGAATATGCAACTATAGTGTGAAATCTTGATTAAGTGCTGGGTATTTGTGGCTCATCCTTCTAAGCTTGAGTTTGATTCATTGCTTTGCATTAAGCTAGGTTTAAAACAAATTGTCTTTTTCCTTTGCATCTTTCACCTTTTGTCTTTCTTTTGTTTTCAGAAGAGTCTCCTTGGAAAGCTTTAAATGGGGGTTGCCCAATCCAGACTGACACAACGAGGAATTCAGCTTACCCTTTCCCAGTGTGCCCATTCAGCACCGGCACTGCCAGTAATGGTAGTCTGCAGTGGCAGCCGGAATCTTCCAGTCCGGCTATCG